TATAATCTAATCGCAACATATACTGCATGTCTCCGAACTAACATTGTTATCGGAAAATTGGACTGGAAATGTACCGGGAAAAATAAGTGAGATATTGTATATTAAAAAAAAAAAAAAAAAAACAGCTAGATTGACTTTTACAAAATTGAATTTAATTTTTATGTCAATATCTATTAAAAGCCCAATGGAATTCGTCAAAAAATCAATCGGATGTAAAACTTTTCGATTAGTCAGCACTGTGGCTATTGACAATAATGCAGCAAATATACATATACTGTGACTAATTATGCACGTATCGTAACATTAGCTTTGATAAATAAATAACGAATCGCTCTTGGAGTAGTTATTAGATGACGCAGCAATATACAATTCGTATAATAATGCAAACGTCACGCGAACATTTGTTGCTCATTCCTTTTTTCTTTTTACAAGTTCAGTGCTTTGAATCAGATTGCAACGTAAAATAAATATTTTCTTTTGTTCAACGTTATGAAATAATAGAAACGCAAATAAATATCAAAAGGAATATTCCATTTTTCAACCGTTATCTTTACGATTAAAATGGCAGTTAAAGCGAGAAGTCATTTCTGCCAGGTCATTTAATTATCTTTTAAACTTTTAAAGTGTGCATAATTTTTGAACTATCATCACGGGAGTAACAAAATGTGTAAAAAAATGTCATTTATAACAAACTATGAGGACAAATAAAGTAAATTCAATGAATTTTTTTGGAATCTCTTATAATATATATACATATATCGTATCTAAAACAATTTTCCTTTGTATTTGGCTACAAAATGTTAGAGATGTCAATGCTGACAAATTGTACTTGTCGGATATTAGCAGTCCCTGCTCGTAAAACAAATTACTTGTTCTCTCGTTACAAAAGAGAGAAATAAATTCCTTATTGTGGCCACGGATACGCGTCAGAGTAGAGATGCGATAGGCTAGTTGGAGAAGTGCTCGCTAAAATAGATCCGCTTGTTTTCGCTGCTCTTGCTACACACTTCGTTCTTTCCCTCCCTTCTATACATATATTCGTCCTATTCTCGATGCAGAGAATACAAGAGCTACACCAAATTACAAAACACGAATTATTTAAAGTAAAAATATATATGTTTAACGTCTATTTTTCAAAGCAAATTTATTTTAAATTAATTTTATTTTATCTTCACCTTCTTTTTCTAACGCTAAAATTAGAAAAAGATAAAAAAATAAGTTAAACCAAAATTGAAGTTATTCTTTTTTTTATTACTGCATTGGACTACATTTTCCTTTTCGCTTTTCCCAAATTTCAAACATCTATTTCAATAATTACAAAAAGTGTACAGCTCAGTAATAAAAAAACCTATTGATAGAAATTATTAGGCTTGCTCTTTTTAGCTGAATTTATTGCGTCATTTGTCTCTTTCTTCTTTTTCTTTCCATATAGGGGAAAAAAAGAAAAAAAAATGAACTGTACAAGTTCAGCTAAAAAGAACTAAACTTATGAACACAAGATGAATAAAGAGAAGGTTTTTTTAATCGCTTTCACTTCTTTTTTCTTTCCTTCCACAAGAATCTAGATCTGGCTTTTTCTATCCCGTTTTTTCCGTCTACGTATTTTTTCTATGAAATTTTCCATAGCATACACGCGTTTACGTTAAGCAGCTTATTTTTGTAGTCAGATTTAGTAACAAAATTGACTGAAAATAGTAAGTCCACGAAAAGCGCAGACTGAAGGATCCAGTAATGAGTAATGTTGGGTCAGAGATATAATAAAATCTAGCTATGAGAGATAACGACTTAATTGGCTCATCATTTTCGTCCACTTCAATAAATTAAAATAAGTAAAATATTTTCTTAAATTTTTTAAAATCTCATTCTATAAATTTTTTGAAATCTCATTCTAAAAATTGAGTGATCTTGAAAAAGAATCTTTAAGAGTGAGATTTCACTAATCAGAGTAAGATTCGCTCTAATGCTTGTTTTTATCAATGTAGATTAATTTTATTTCGATTCAACTTACTCTTTACACAGAAAAATACACAAATAATGATTATTTTGAAAGTAATAATTACTTATTTCAAGTATTTTAAAGTTCATATATATTCACAAATATATCATAAATTCATCACAAGTGTTAAATTTACTCAAAATATATTCTGAATTCTAGTAAATTTAATACTTCAATCAAGTTTATTAAATTAAAACAAATTCGATTTGCTTATTATAAAAAGTTATTTTTTTATTTTTTTAAAATATTCACCAAAAAATCCTTGTTTTGAGTACATGAGTTTTTTTTTTAAATTTTGTAATAAATATATTTTAAGATTATTATCAAGAAAAATTTTTAAAGATAACCGTACTTAAAAGGAAAAAAATAGATTAAGTATTTTTCTTGGCAATATATTGATATTTTTCTGCGTGTTCGTCTATTTTCTATTCTTAGAACTAGATAATGATGAAAAATAAATGTGACGGAAAAAATTAATGAAAATTTAAAAAAATATAAGTCAGAATAAGACAATATATGTACTCTTCTTTCTCACTCTTGTCAAAATCGCTCATAGCCAGAGACTGTTACAAAATTTCAGGACCGGCTTTGAGAAGAATCGTTTCCTCCGCCGGTGCGACACGCACGCAAGTCGTCACGTCGTCCGAACGGCAGAGGGGGAAGGGAAAGAGAGAGAGAGAGAAACGCTCATTTCCGCAGAAGAGCGAAGGGTCTACGACTCGCCCGTTCGCACGCATGCACGCACGCATCACGCCCCGTCGGGTCGTGTCGTGTCCAAAATGGCTGGTCGCTAAAATTAGAGAACGAGCGAACACGAGCAACATGGGCACAGAGAGGTTATGGTATCAGGAAAAAAAAAAAAATTGGCAATTCGACGCTAAATATTGACGCTAAATTGATATCGATTGGACCGTCATCGTCAAGTCAGCGAATCTCTCGAAGCATTAAAATTCGGTAAAGGTCAAATGGAGGGTGATCACCTTAAAAATCGATGAAATTATCCTCATTCGACTCATATAAAATTCTAGAGGTCCGAGAGGTGGGAGGGGGGGGGGAACTTACCTCGTTGTCGAAGTAAAGTCATATAAGATGGTATCGCCCTGCTGGACGGCCGCTTTTTAGCGTGAAAATCCTCCGCTCGGGGAAGCCGAGATTCGAGACAGATGGATCGCCTTCCTTCTCGGGAGCAACCCGATACGTGTCACGATACGTGAAGGTTCCTCACTGTCGATATCGACGAGGTTGAACTTGCGAGATGGCTCGCTCGCGCGAGAAAAGGAGAGTGAGGAAATAGGGACAGAGCCGCCGGCCTTCTGGTGGCTCCTACGTCGTCGCTCTCGGTCGCTTCCTGGCGTCGCGTCGACGGGTAGAGTTTACTCTATCGACCCGTACTCGTGGAATCGTCTAGAGAACGATGGCTCTCGATCGATGAGAATCGAAAAGACGTGAGAAAGGCGAGTACTCTGGGCACTGACTGAAAACGCTACAAGTCACATTTGCTGCGCGATGGCTAGTATGGCTACTTCTTGAAGCTTGAAGTCACTTGAAGTTTGCCCGAACCGCTTGAACGCTTAATGTAGCTGCGAGTGGTTGCGCCGAGTTGCGAGCGCTGCGTACGCTGCTTGTTGAGTGATAATTCCGCGGTGTACGATTCGTCGGTATATATGATTGTCATTATCATGTTATTGACAATCGGTTATGGATTTTTTTACTTGTTTATTACTTTTCGATAAAATTATCTGACTATCAAGCGGACTGCGGGGGTCCGGAGAGATGTAATCGAAAAAATTATCTTTAAAAATATTGATAACAATTTCGTATCAATATTACTGATATAAATTCCAATTGTCGACATAGATATTTGAATAATTAACATTGACTGCAGTATTAAATTCATTATGTAGAATGCATATTTATAACATTATTGATATATTTATATACCAATATTAAATGTTGCTAAACTATATTTTTTTAGTTTTACCATGGATATAATCGACTCCGGATAATAAAATCGAAGATTTAAATATAAAAATTAAATATTAATTAATTACCGTATCTTAAAGTTTTATGTGTATATATTTCTTATCTTATGAAATATCAGGATAAATCATAAATAATAAATCAATATTGCGTCATTAAGTTTAGTGATTGCACCATGTGTACCAGTTCGGAGAGTGTAGGAATAAAGAACAGATATTTGGACGTGATGACGATATTCGGTTATTGGCTGCGTTCAGTAGAAAAAGCAACTTCGTAACTATTAGGGTGCCATTAATTTAGATTTGATTGGCTAACGTAACTTATATCAATCAATCAAATCATTTAAACTAAAAAAATGTGTAATATTTGATACAATTTGATTAGTTCATGCAAGTTACGCTTACCCAAATTATGTCACATGTGATGGCATCCTTATATAATATATAAAATTCTTGAATATGATTGGTGTATACATTTACATCCAGTGAGGAACTGACAACATATTAAAGAATTTTACAACAGTTGCAAAGCTGTTTTTTTTGCTGAAAGCAGCCATAGACTTTAATTTCATTCTTGTTTGTTGTTCTTAATAATTAATTGCGATCCTACGTAGTTTTTAAGTATTACGTTTATGGCAATTGGCATAAATTTTAGTCAATATGCACAATATCGTAAGAATTTTTACTTAATATGTTAAAAAATTCTTTATTTCAAGTTATAATTTTATATGTGATTGTGCATAGATATTATTGTGATTTTGTATAAATGTGATATACAAATAAAACAACTATTTATAAAATAAAAACGTTTTCCAAATTTTTTAATGATGTATTGAGCTTCTCAAAAGTCTTGTGATTGTAAATTTCTGCAAATCGAAAAAGGTTTTATTTGTGGTAGAATCTAAAATTTTTGAAATTTTTAGTTAGTAGCCGACTCACTAAAATTGGCAACACTGCACTAAATACTATACACGTTTCAGTATAAATTGATTTAAATGAGTAAATTGTTGATTTTTGTAAATAAAAGCTAAAACTTATCTCTAATTTACTGAAAATAAATGGTAACTAAAGATATTGTTTGTTCTTAAATAATTAATTCTATGTGTCGTATCTGTTATCCGTGGTTATTCGCGATATCGCATAGTTGCGTCGAGTTTAACCTCAAATTTAAGAGCAATTCTGTGTCTGTTGAAGGCAGTTATAATTCGTAAAAGAACGACTTGAATTTCACAAATCTTAATTGAGAAGAAATGAAGGGCGCTATGACAGTACTCAGAAGCGTGCGGACTAGCGAGTTCGCAATTATTCGTACGTGCTATAGGAAATACTGTACCACAGAGAATCATATGACGACAACAAAGCAGAAGGTGATCCATCCATATAGCCAAATTCATCCGTGGAAATCAGAGAATGAATTTGCAAATGATTTGCTGAAGAATGTTGTTTACAATTCAGGTGGAGAAATCTTATATCTACAATTAATGTAACAGTTTTTTCCCAGTAAGATGAAACTATTTTTATTGTTATAAGATTGATAAATTTGTCTTTTTTATTCCTGTACTAGATTGCGCTAGAAATATTTTTCTCGTTTTTGCTGAATATTAAATGTATATATCTCATTTTAAGTTCTAAAAGTGTACATTAGTTTAATAGCATGAAATATATCCTATTATTGTTCTATTTTGTGAAAGTTAATAATCTTTGCTTTTTGATATAATTTCAGCACTATTGTGACTATTAAACAATGTTTATTTGTAATAATTATTAATATTATAATTAAAAAATGTTGTTTATTTTAGTTATTCTACTTATATACATTATTTTAATATAAAAATTTTCTTTTATCATTTTGTGAATGTTAGTAATCCTTTTTTTTTTTTAATATAAATTTATAATATCATTATTATTAAAGTAATAATATTTATTTTCAATAGCCATTAACTTTGGTATTGATGTCAAAATCTGTAATATCAGTTACTACAATACTGGATCACTAAGATATTTTGGTTTATGTTGAAAGAAATTAATTAATTTTGATAAATACGTATGACTTGTATAAAAAAGAATTAATAAGTTTATTTTAATACAAATAATCCAAATTCATAGATATAACATGAAAATGTTTGATATTTTTGTGTAAAATGGTAATTGATATATTAATAGATAAAGAATTAAGAATTAAAATCTTAACAAAATTAAGAGAGAGAGAGAGAAAGAGAGAGAGAGAGAGAGAGAGATACTTATATTTTTTTATCTTAATATCATTTTATAAAGAAAGTTATATTATTTTGACTCACTAAAATCTTTGTTATTTAAGAAATAACTGCTTGAGATATTGACATATTCAAGATACAAAAATTTGAAACTTAATTAAGTTTAAACTTTTTGAGCTGTAACTATATTTTCCTGTCTTTGCTTATGTATCTTTAGATAATTTAGAATCAGATATTTCAAGCGCTAATCCTTTTCAAAATATTACTTTGATTTATACAAAATAATCCTTTTCTGAATAAAAAACATAAACAGACTGAAAACTAAACTGAAACTCTTCAAATCATGAAAAATTAAGAGTCACAGTAGCACAATATTTTTTACAATTTGTTAGACTTGAAAGAAATATGAAGGGAGAGAAACTACAAAAGGATATTTTGCAGATCTTGATTTCTAGCAGTAACAAAGAAATTGATAATTTAATCTTTCCAATAAACACTGTTACAGTTTCAGAGGATTATATTAACATTGTATTGAATTCAAAAAACATTAAACCATAGCCAATATACTTGTTTAAATTATTTTAAGTATGACGGTTTTCTTTCTTTGTCTCAGAGTTGGTTTTTCTGTATTGCACACAGAAGAGATTCATTATTTGTTAGAAATTTTAAGTAATATTAAGAAATATTTAAAAAAATTAAGTAATATTAAAAGGAATATTATGTCTTTGTAAAGTTATATATAATATTTTTATCAGAAATAAAATATATTTATGTATATTTGTTTAACTTAGCTAATAAAATTGATGTATTTCAATATTAATTTATAAATACTCTTTTACAGATGGAATAATTGCAGTAAACAAACCATATGGCATACCCATGCTGAATAGTAGGCCAAATATAAACGTACCCCTGCATTTACATCATAAGATTGTAGGAGCAAAAGATTATACTTTAAATGATATTTTGCCATATCTTGCAAAGGAGTTAGATGTACCAATGTTAATACCATGCTTGGGATCAGAAAAGTATATCATTCTCCAATTTGCCTCTTTCCTTTTTCTTTTAAAAAATCATTTTATTTATTTTACAACAAATTTTACTTTATTTGTAGATATATGAGTGGCATATATGTTTTTGGAATTAACAATGAAGTATGCCACCAAATAAATCTGGCAGCAAAACGAACTCGTGGTAAATATAGGAAATATTGGGTAGTCACAACTAGAGTTCCAAACGAGATCAAAGGAAAACATCATTTAGGAATGATTTTAAAAGTATCTGCATTAGGAGATAAAAAGGTATATACCTCTATATACATATTTTTACGAAATAATTAATATTCACTGAGGTAACAATTACATGTGCATTTCAGCCTGTTATCTTGACTCAGTGGAGTAACAACTCCTGGAAAAGGGACGAAGTCAAGATAATGAATGTTGATTATAAAGTTATAAGCAATTCGACGCATAATTTAAGTTCGCTAATAGAAATTGTGTCATCCTCAAGAAAATGGCATTCTGTTAGGTTATTCACTTCCACTATGTTGTACAGCCCGATTCTCGGAGATAATATTCACGGATCACGAGTTCAAGAAGTCATGGGTACATGGTTAAAAATCGATCCTTTCGCTGATTCCAGTTGGGATTTACCAAAGCTAAATCGACAATTACTAGATCTATTAGATATAAAACCAAGTCAACAAGAAATTGTTCCGGTTCACATACACTTGAGAAGTGTACACTTAATCTTTGGCAAAGAGCAAAAAGATTTAATAATAGAAGCCCCTTTAATACATCCGTTCGATTGGACTTGCAAGCAGCTTCAGTTTAAAATCCCAGGTGAAATCAGGAATTCCGTTAATGAAGAAAATGAAGAAGAGTTAATTTACATGAATGCACATGATGGCAATTAACTCACATACTATGTCACCAAGTATTTTGATTGTAATAAAAAGGATTTTAATTAAATTGAAAATATTTATTTTGTAACATACATTCTTATACATTTAATCAATTGGATGGATAACATAATGATTAATGAGACAGCACATGTTTGCCCTTTAAGATTCTTCTTTGAAGAATTTTCCTACCATTTGGTGTTGACATCCTCGTCAACCAGCCATGCTTTTTTATTCGTTTTCTTTCATTAGCGTGAGGAAAGTGATATCTCATTCTGTTTCTCACAAATGTTAAACCCCATGGGCTCCATACAGATGTCGCAGTCACTGCTGATGAAAGCTGGTTTGAAGCCTGCCTGTAATCATATATAGTAACAAAATATGTGTTATTATATTATATATTTATATTGTCTCAATACGCCAATGATTATGTTTTACATTAACTCTTGATAATTTTCTAGTTTTTTATTATATATAATGTCGGTATTCTGGACAACCATTGTGTGAATTTTCATCACTTACATATATATAATATACAAAAATTATTAAATGAGATTCTTATATATTTTAACATCTTTAGAAAGTGTGAAGCTGTATATTTAAAATAAGAAAGAATAAAGTTAATATTCATCGTTAAAGGCAAGTTTATGTAAGATCACAGTGCAAAAATATTTGAAGAGAAAGAATAACGACTATTATTTAGCCAAATTTTCCTAATATTTTAAGGAAAAGAAATACATAAAACAACTGACTCAATCATGTGCACTAAAGGTTAAATAACGCAAGTAGCACAGTTTATTACGTTTATATATAACTTATTATATTACTCTTTTATATTGTTTGACAATATAATTAAATTCGTTTTTTATCTACAACTAATGATTGGTATAAAGAAAATATCAAATGGAATGCAATCAACAACAAGCAGAATTGATAATGAAACGCATCACAAGTTACTACGGAAAATATTAATTCTAGAGTGAGAAACAGAAGTTGATATTTACGGCAAAGACTGAAATATGCCCGAGATCAATCTGCCGAACATTTTTTCATAACATAACGTCTCACAGGTTAAGTTTAATATATACACACAGTCGAGTCCATACTTCTATAGATTATCTCAGAAAGTCGAGTCGATAATCACGCATGCGCAGTATGTACACCGGTTCACTAGCGAAAATCATCGAACGTTTTCGAAAACCGACAGTATGCTGTTATGTGGCGCACTCTGGTAGCAAAAATTGGAGTTTAATGATTTTACTGCTACTGTCTGAATCTGTAATATATTATAGTCATCACGTTTTTACTTATAAAAAATGTAACGTGCAATTTTATCAATTAATGCAATTTCGATAATTTTTTTTACCTCGAAATATTGACAATATCTATCAAAATGAAAAGAAAGGAACAAATACTTAGCAGCAGTAAGTATAATGTCTTAATTGTTGTCATTTCCTTAATCGGAAACATAATTGTTGAAATGCATATATAATTGTCAAGTAAAAAAACTTCCCAATAAATCTTTGAAATATAACATGAAATTTGAATGTATACGTTTCAAGCGCGTTAAAATATTTACCCACCACAAGAGAGATCTTTAGATACCTGTCATAACTGGCTGGCTTCAATCGGTCTATTAGCGAGGACCGTATTCACTGATTGATCTATTCTAGGGTTCACAATATATCTCATGGGCTGACTGAAGGGCGCAGCAGTATTAAAAGTACCAGCCCTCGAGAAGGTGATGGGGCAACAATATATCTTATTCGGTTATTCGATACAACATATAATACCGATCCTAAAAGGTACAATACACATTCGACAAATTTCTAAGCTTACATTTGAGTAAAGAATCATTGTCGCTATGAGATAAATGGGCTTTAAATTATTAGAAAAAAACTACAAGTAATATATGAGTCTCGCTTTGAAACCGAATAGATTTTGATTCTATACTCCACTTATCTCTACTTGATCTTTACTTTTCCTTTCAAGTAGCAGAGCTCATGATTTATAATAACTTATTTGATTTTTTCTATTTTTTACATTGTTAAAGTTTTGGATATAATTTTCTGATTTATAAAATATCGGTGATTTTAACTTATTTCTATAAATGTGTTATATAGATTTCATATTATATTTTATAATACTACTGTTTGAATTTAAAATATTTTTTGAATTTATTTAAAGTCACGAGAAAAATTGTAGTTTACAATACATAAAAATTGTCTGTTATTGAAATACATATTATATTGTTAAAGTATACGATTTAATTATATAGTTGATTAAGTTTATAAGGCAAAATGAATGAATATTCATTATCGTGACTTTTTTTTTTGTTTTACAATAATGTTTTTGGATATATTTGTTGCGTTTGGAAATATCACTCGAGTATCCTTATCCTTGTTTAACATTGAATGAACAACAAAGATAAGACGATACTCGGGGAAACCTGGGTGATATTTCCGAACGCAGTTATTATATATGAAAATAATTTTTTCTGAATAATTTGTTCTTAACTTTGAAAGTTTTAGTCAAGGTTATAGCATAATATTTAGCTATTGAAACTATTTAATTTATTTATTAAGAGTATTCCCCCCTTTTGCGTAAATTATTATACATTCTAAAAATCGAATAAATCTTTGGTTACTGATAATTGAATTTATTAACAAGATACAACAGCTCGTGTGGAATTCTCTATTAAAATATCATTGAAACAATGTTAATTTTAAGTGACAGGCAAAAAAACACAAACATTCTTCCTTTAACTTTCTGTAATTTTTTGAAATACTTAGAGGAAAGTGTTTCACGTTTAGTCCACGTATACGAAAAGAACAATTTTGCTGAAGTTTCTAATAATTTAGTTACACGTAGAAATCTGAAAATAATTTTATAAGACCATCAAAATAATAATTAATTATGCAAAATGCTCAAGCTGGTTGCCAGAATATTAAAACTTTTGCAGCCTTATCGTCATGCTGAACAAAACCGGTTTTTTTTTTTGTTAAAAGTGCCGCAACAATGTCTCGATCATATATTAAAACCACTCCTTCAGTTTCTCTATGTCGCACCCTCCGAGTTCTCATTCAGAAAAATTCTTTCTTTCGTCAAATGCACCCCATGGTGCCGACCTACCCCATGGGAGGATTGATCTTGCCTCCATCTCGACGGTAATTGAACTGCCGTGACCTCGTTGACACGTAGCGTGTAACAGACAAGCGAACACGCGTGCATCCATGACGTCATCGTATCACGTACGGTGGTCGTCTAATCATGAGCCCACATGGGACCTCTGCACCGATGTGATTTTGATATATTTTGAACGTTACATTACATTACTCGAGATAAAATTTGACAGATTTGACGCTTGAAACGTGAAGAATCGACATTAAACTTTCTTGTTATAATTTATTTAAAAAAAATGAAAAAGGAAAATATATAGTTCTACAGCTTGGAAATATATTTTCTTTATCAGTATGAGGGAATAGATTTGAGTTACATACGAAAAAACAGTTATGCCGAAATATCTAAAAATATAAAAATTTGATAAAAAATTTAACTAAATAAATATATATAGATATCTAAAAATAATTTTATTAAATGTGAAAATAATTTTATGGGATTATCGTTGTATAAAATAATTATGTACGACACTTATTATATTATATATAAAATAATTATAAATTTTGATATTCTAGCAACCATCATCAATGTTGGTTCAACAAAATTATTTTCAGATAAATTTTTTAATATTTCAACAAAATTATTCTTTTCATATATCTCTTTTAACGTTACTATATATCTTTTTAAATATTACTAAAGAACAAGTTGTTTTCAATATTATTGGTTTCACATAAACGCCTCCAGGTATAACTTATCGTCCACCTATTGACAAACTTCTCTTCCTCTTTCCTATATAAGTTTCGCGTAATTACGTTAGTACCGTCGTACGATTATCAAGTATCGGTCGATTGTCGAGTAACGTACCATCCCTGTGCTACTCGTAATCTATTTAATGAGCGAGTTAATGCGATATCATCGGGGTTTGGTTACATGGGAAAACGGTGCATATACTTGCCGTTCGAAGGGTGCGCTTAGGCACTGTTAGACTAAACCTATCTCGTGGGTGGATGAATTTTTTATCTGCATCCGATGATGGAATCGTTGCGACCTATTTGTTATGTCACGTGGAACGTGCACGCGGCCGTTCCTCGAACGCGCGTACACGCATCACCGAATATATTATCACGTATGTCTTGTTACGACATCGATTAAACACGACGCGGTGTAGAATCAATGATGCTTAAAAAAAAATTAACAAACCTTTTTTTCGCGATTTTTTTTAACTTAATACAGATCATATGCAATTCTTAAAACCTGTGTTTGTGAGATTTCTATTATTTTCACATGTTAAAATATTTACTAATAATTTCTTGATTAGAGTAAATGATTATTTACCAATTAAGGTGTAATTTTTATACTAAATTGTTATTTTTAATAGATAAATTGAGAAATATTTCTTAATTACTCATTACAATTAGTAATTGAATTATTGCTAGTCAGTGTACGTTTTTATTAGAATATTGAACGTCTCCAACAATATGCGGAAAAAAGCTGTGCGGAAAACATATTAAAGCAAAGGGATTCATCTGTTTTAATTATTTCTCTTTTACATTATTCGAGCACATAGACAGAGAAAATTCCGAGAAAAAAACAGTTATTATTAACGCGTAACAAAGAGCGTAGCTAGATCTCTTTAGTCTTTTATTAAAATTTACTTGGAATAGGGCACTTAATTCTTTTGTATGAAACCGGAGAAAGACGAAATGATATGTTTTTTAAACACAGAGGACATGGAAGGCAGTAATATAAGTTTTTATGTAACTTTTAATTAATCTATTTATAATAAGTTTCTAATTAATAATTTTTTAAATATTATTTTTTCACATGCATGTCTCATAATTTGAACTTAATTTTTTAAATAAATAATATTATTAAATTAGATTAATATAAACATTATCCGTATTTAATTCTCAAATGTAGTATAATTATTTATTTTGAAATTTAATTTTTTTACTACTCTCTTTAAAAAATAATTTTAAGTTAGGAACAGCATTACACACTCTTAGAGAAATTCAATGTAATACTGAAATATAGTAATTAATTACTTATTTTGTGCGTGCGTGCGTGCGTGCATGCGTGCATGCGTGCGTGTGAGTATTAACAGCTGTTTAATACTTAAAGTAAAAGTAATTAATCACTACTTTCTAATATGATATTAACTTTTTTAAGTGTATCGACAAAATCGTACGAGCATTGAGAAAAGTTATCAGTACTCGATTGGGCACCCGGTATATTTTCAACTGTCAGTTGACAAGATACAGGATGCGCCTTTTCCGTTGCAAGAGTTCCGAACCGGCACTCCCATCCTATAGAATTGCGCTCAATCGTCCATCGATTCAACATGAGCGTGTCATAGCGTCGGCAGACTTATTATCGATTTGTTTGCATAATATTTTCTTATTATACAGCATGAAGTACAATCTTCTGCATTACGTGTAAAATATAATAGCTGAGCATTTATATATTCGGTACTAGAATATCATATTTCGGGAATATCGTTTATCCGGATTTTTAAGATAATTTGATCATGAAAAATATCACGAGGATTTCCTCGTATATTTATTTAGCTAATATAAATATTTATTCAGCCAGATCTGTTGCAAGTTGCTGCTCTTTCTCAACTGGAAATCGGTCGAATCTAGAAATGGCCGGGATGCGGCTCTTGACCGTGACACGTGCGTCTCTCAGCGACGATTTACTTGTCAAATAATTCTTCGTACAACCGCGGGGTTCGCGATTACTGCCTGAGCACACGCAGTAACTTATGTGCATGCTTACGTTACGTCGTCGATATTTCATTGTGCTCGCAATCGAGTGATAAAAATGTGCGGTACTGAAAAATATTGCGACGCTGCGAGCGTGACTGCTTTGTGGTCCGACCAAGTCCGAGAGGAGATTTTAGAATGCAGGAAAACGAAATGATATTTACGCGATATCGGCTTTCCTCTTTTAAAAACTTATACACGGAAGAAAAATAATACTTCA